AAAAAAAAAAAAAATCATCACGGACTTTTTATCTTTTTTTGTAGATTCTATATTACATCTCGATATTTGAGATTTATACATTAATTTAAATGATTTATTAATACAATGGTAGGTTAGATAGTAGTACGATTTCTGTAAATTGTTCTTGAAAACTCATTCGGTAGACAATAATTATTTATACACGACGATGGCAATGTATAGTTTATTGTCTGTTTATAATTTTCATGTTTACAACAACGTAACGCATAATATGTAGGTGTTTCGAATACGCTTACTTACTTACATTTAACTGATTATTGACACAGACATAAAAAAAACAAAAAATTGAAAATTTATCCCGTTATCTGCTTCTTTCGGTTTCAATTAATTGCGTTTCTGTCTGGCATATGTCAAACGTATTATAGCTTTGTACGAGACAACTTTATTACTTATTTGACAAAATTTTTAGACTGTTCTAAAGTCATATTTTTTATGGGAAACATTTTTGAAGCAAAATCAAAGTTTTTTTTTAATCCTCGCAGTAAATATAAACGTACTAATAACAATGTAGGACATCGCATTACGAGTGGCACGCGAAAAAAGAAGTTTAAACAACATTGTGCTAGATTATAAAAATAAAATAAAATAAAAAAAAAAGACTTAAACATAAAACTCAACTACACTTAAAAATGTCACATATTAATTAAAATTTACTTTTTAATATTTTAACAAATTTATTCCCAAAAGAAAGAATTTAAATGTTTCATATGTTATTTTATACTATTTCATAAATTATTTTTCGTGGAACAAAGGCGTTGGAATCAACATTCACCTGTATCTTACAGACGAACATTAATATGTACGTCCAATATTGTTGTTAATATTTTGGCTGTAATATTGATTTTCGATAGACAATCTACACGACGCAAATTACATGGAATTATCGAGAAATGTAAATGTTTATCTTACCAATAATATTTACGTGTCGAAAATTCTCAATTTATATAATTTTCATAGCATTCTATAACTGCGATATTTCCCGATTGTTAGATTATCTATTGTTCATAGCACAAATGTCAGCATTTTGACCGCACTGATTACATAAGTAAAGTCTGTTACAAACACAGCGGATATTTCCGTGAAAATTATAAACTATATAGAACATAGAGTCGGTACAGATCGTCGTAGGTAGTGCAGCAAATAGGAGTGACTTTGACGGGTATTTGCCTGTCAAAATGTAGTACATTCAAACACCGTCGAGAAAATAAATTACTATACACCGTAGAAATTATATATTATATTTGAATTTCTCTAATCGCTCTTAAATTGTTTCTAGTTTTTTACAGTATCTTTTTCTTTTTCTTTTTTCATATACGAATACGTAAATGCACGCGTATTTTTTTTTAATACAGTCAGATCAGTTACTCGAGCCCTGACATTGTCGGAGCGTAGCTGTACACGTGCGAACGAGTTTTCCGGGAAACAAAACGTACGGCTCTAGGATATTTAAAAAATGAAGGTTCGAACATTCTTAGTTTAGAACCTACCACTCATCCATCTAATGAACCATTAACCAATAGCCAACAAATAAGTTATAAAATAATAAAATACTAATAAGAGGTATTCAATAAACCAAGTATTTAGGACGTAAGGACCAACATACGTAAATGATAATTAATAATTACAACACTTACCTTACTCTTAAGAAAAATTAATTTTAATACAAACAATCGGCAATTAAGGCGTGTTCATTTTGTTTTACGCGAATCGATGTGTCTTTGTCAATTTGTTTTATTTCGGCTTCCTTTACTTTTCTCTAATTAATCTTTTTTTTTTAAAAAAAGCAATCAAGAGGGATTTATCGCAAAATCCCGCCATTTGTACACCGCTGCATATATATATATATATATATATCAAATTATATTGCCCTCCCTTTTCCCGAGAAAATAATCAAAGCCGTCTCTGGCGAAACCTGCAACCGAACAACATATACGTATGTACGCATCACGTGATATTCATGCCGAAGGGACACGCGATAATTGTTTTACCGTCCATCCGTCGTCATTATATTATTACCATTATGTGCGTACTCTCGCTCGTGTAACGTCGGTAGCGGTATTATTATTATTATTTTTTTATTTTTATTTGCATTACAGCGTTTACGACGGCAGTACTTGATTATCTCCTTAATACGGCTATGCGTTACGGACGCGAGTGCATGTAATGTTGATACACGCCCAAGTGTACACCTGTAATAGCTGTGCACACGTGTAACTGCTCGTAAACGATCGAGAACGGATATCGTGATAAGTAGTGATATACTGTTCGACGGTACGGAAACGCGTTTCGTTTTAACTTTTTTTTTCTACGATTTGACGGCTGCCGCACGCGTGGTAAATCGCAAACGGTTCGGCGACACGAAGATCGTCTGTATGGCAGTACGGTACCCTATCGACAATTCGAAAACGTTACATGGCCTATGTTCAATACAAGTCCCTTGGTTTAGAAGGGGCACGAATTTCCAGGATCTAAAACGAGTCCGAAAAACGAGTGTTGAATCGGACTTTTTTTTTTCAATGACTTTATTGACGTCACGGGTCCTCTGGTACTCGTTAACATGTGATTTCCAAAAATATTATTATCATCTGGAAAGATTAATAATATAATATGATCACTCTATGCCTTATAATTAATACTGTCTATCTAGCTATTATATTATTAATAATATTTACTTCGGTATTTCGCGCATAATACCTTAAGTAGGTGATTTGGTAGATATGTGTTTATTATTATGTTGAAACCCATTTACAGTACATATAGTAATGTGTTTTTGGTGAATTTGTGAATTTTCGACAAATTTGTTCAAAACGATTACATTTATTTTATTTGCACAGTCCTAATTAATCCTGTTAATAGTCTCGTAGTTGTGATAGCGCCCAAATCCGAAATGGATCTCATATAGTTAAAAATGGAATTCAAATGTTTTTATAAATACAAAATATAAACAGTTATACGCATGCATACAGGGCCGTTGTTAGGGGTAAGAGATGCAATACTTCCCCAACTATGAATGACCTATTTATATGATCGACAATTATCAACAAATTAAATAATACAAGTGTTGTACAATTTTATTTCAGAAAGTAGTCGGCAAATTTGTATATTGATAACCCACTTATCAATATTTGCTAGCACCGGCCCACCGTACATGTATATAATCTAAAACGGATTGTTTAAATCTTTTTTCGTTTACCCTACACTGTATTACGGACGAAAAGTAAAATGTTATATATTTTAACATGTCATCCGTTTGACGTCTCAGTAAACGAAATGGTTCGATTTATTCAAATACAAGTAACTCTCTTTTCGTATTACACCCATTTCGTTTTTTTTTTTTTTTGTGTTAACCGTCCTGTAATCTATAACATACTTTCTTTCTGTGCGTCGTTAACAATGCGTGTTTTGATGTATTATATTCGATAAATTATTTTGGAATTGTGCTACATAGTCTTATATTGTCTGAAATATCACCGATTAACGGTTGTCGTTTGTTTTTTGATTTGATTTTTTTACACAAAGAGTTGCAAAAAAAATTCAAAGAGTTTTTTCAGTATTAAACGAAAAATATAATACAATCAAACGCGTACCTATATGTAGCAACGACATCACGTCTGAACAGGCGATATTTCGCTACGCTTTTTCTGGGACTTATCAACATCGCTATTTTTCCATTCAATAAGACGCTTTTTCTATATATACGTATAAAATTATATTACTATTATACTTTTATATAAGGTAATTGAAAGACCATTGTGGATCAGATAACAATACAAATATAAGGAATTTTTAAATTTATTTAAAACTTTAAATAATGTACTGTGTTACATTTTAACTAAAACAGTACAGTTTTATAAATTTATCTGTCTCATTTGTATTTGAATAAACAGCATTAGACGTCGGTTCACAAATGTAAAACGGTAATTTTATTGTTTTCAATTTAAACAGGGAAAATGTTTCTAAATAAATCTATTAATCTTCCTGCAATATTTCAATTGTTCCGATTCATGTTTTCTGAATGTTAAGAGTTTAAACCAAGTTTTGAAAACTGTTACGAATGGAGAATTTCGCTAAGTTAATAATACTTAAAAATATTGCCAGACTATAAGAAAATGTAAAATGTAATTTTTCTTATGATTTAAAAATTAAAAAATTTTTCAAAGTTGATCATACGTAGCCTTGCATACATAAATATGTATATTACCAATGACTGCAATCCGCACTAATTTATGTATTCATCATATTAAGCATAGTTCTCATCCAAGGTTTTCCGTGTGCAAGAGAATCCCGTGTACCGCAGAGAAAGTCCCCAAACAACTCCGTTCGAACAGCGACCATCGCGATTTTGTTGTTTGGCGCACGCAGAAATCAGTAACAAATAATCATATTCATTATTCTTCATATATATCGCTACCGGGTTACACGTTAATATTCAAGTACCGTGAATAGTGCGTATCGATCTTTAAACTCGGCTAAATTTAATTAAAAAATTATCTTTTTATGATAGAACGTGTGTTTAACTCTTTTTTTTTTCGGTACTGTCCAATGTCCACTTTTTCGTTCATATACTAAAATAGATAACATATATTAATGGTGTTGTGAATTATTTTCGGTTACGTTTTGGATTCGACATTATCTTATTATCATGATCATATTTTGCTATGGTCTATATTTTAGACAGCAGCGCGTGAGTTATGTTTTCTGCGATCATATGATTTTTTTTTCTTCCGACGATCGTCTACAAGTAACGCATATAAATATTGATAGTGAATAAATAATCATAATATTTACAAATCCGCAATATACGGACGATGTGAATGTGTATTCTGGAGTATTTGATTTGTAAGTTCTATTGATCATCAATATGTTGTCATAAGTATTATGAGACGCGTCAACATGTAAAACGTTTAACTATTCGTCTTTGATGCGTTTGCTGAGATTAAACTCGATAATCGTTGTTGCAGTTGCAGTGTGCGTCATGTCGAATCATCGCGTAACAGTAAGCGTTTGACGCGGATACCTGTTGCACTGCAGTAGCAGCAAGGCAAACGAAGCCATTTGGTCGCGTACCACCACCGCGGTTAGCCAAGGTGTCCATTAGACAGCAGCGACTGTATACGCCCGCAGACGACCTACCGACCTACCGACCGACCGACCGACCGACCGACCGACCACTCGAGACGACACACAATGGCCGGCAACAACAACGACTACGCTTGCCAGGACTGGAACGCGTCGGACGTCGCGGGCGGCACCAGCATCGTGAACTTCTACGACGGCGAGTCGGTGTTCGTCACTGGCGGCACGGGGTTCGTGGGCAAAGCGCTGATCGAGAAACTGCTCAGGTCGTGCCCGGGCCTGAAGACCATTTTCCTGTTGATCAGACCGAAGCGAGGCAAGGACATACAGCTCAGGTTCCAAGAGCTGTTGGAAAATCCGGTAAGCAAACGCGCGCGCGCAGTTACCGGGTATAACGATTATTATTTAACAATGAAACCTCTAAACACCGGACATTGTCGGTCGCTGACGTTTTGTCCGCTATTCAGAGGCGTCCACTTTTCGGAGGAAGAAATTTCAATTTTATTCAAGTAGAATTATAAATTAATTAAAACATTTTTTTTTTTTTTTTTTATAATATTAATTAAATATATATATATAAAAATGAACGTTTATGAAAAAAATTGACATCACAAACACAACTAAATACTAATACGACAACGTATTGGTCACTATATTTCGTCGATGCGATAATATTTCAGCGAGATAAAGATATATTATACTTTACATTATTATACATTATACTTCCACAATTATTTTTTAATTTATTATAAAAATTAAAAATTTCAAAAATTAAAGTTATCATAAAAACGTCGGTTATTTAGAGTGTCCCATATTTTTAGGTTTTCTTGTAGAAATGTAGAGAAAATATTCCCGTTCCCGAAAAAAAATTCCGTTATTTGGAGGTGTCCGCTATACAGAGGTGTCCGTTAAAGTAGGTTTCACTGTATTATATGCATACATCAAGTACTAGAAATAAGAACGGTTAAATTCGCGTCTAAAACCGTGTATATTTTTTTTTCTTAAACTTTCTACATCTTAAAGGCTGGCCGACTATCAACTTTTAAGTCTAAACGACATAGGTATTAATCATTACTTTGTTCTGAAAATACGTCTTATAATAGTATCAAATCTTTTTAGGCCCGCAAATGTATGTATTTATTTATTTATATTTTATTTCATTAAGAATACTGTGTCTCACTGATATGAAATTCGCGTGAAGATCTAGGATGACTACTTTTGGGGGAAAAAAAAAAGCGTTAATAAAATGATCAAATTCTGATTATAACTTAAAAACTGTTTTGACTTTTGAGATATTCATACAGTTATATGATCACATACCAACATAATATAAAAATATATATTTACGTTAAATATAAGTGGGCACATCATACAAATAATAAATTCATAAGATATTAGTTATAATTTGTAGTCAAAGTATCAACATTGTAATCAGGCATTGAGGTAATTGTATTTTAAATATCGATAATGTGAGGTAATTACATTATATGACAAAGTTTGATTCATTTTGTCCCCAAGAACTCATTTTGCATTTGATAGCAAGTTTCTATTGACCATTAAATGTTAGAGTCATCTAAAGCACAATATACGTGATATACGAGTATACGTGATATTATCACGTATTAATACCATGAGATAACTGTGGTAATAAATTATATTTTTTTTTATTTTAGGATGATTTATATTACATAAAATATGATAATAATAACATTAATTAGTTATTATTATTAATTAATTTTTATTAATTATCAATATAATAATAATAATTATTATTAATTTTTATTTTAATATTAATTTGTTTAATGTCAAAGATTTTTTTAATGATTTAGTTAGCTCGCAAAGAAATTACGTTTGGTTTCGGCAAAAATACTATAAATTAAAACAAAAACTTACCACGAACACTTATTCGTACCTTTACTAAATAAATCAATCTTTAATCGGCTTACTAATTAAAGGCAATACAATTCTAATGATATATTGAATAATAATATTGGTCGCATCGATAATCACTCACGAGCAACAAAGAACTGAACTAGATGTACACAATACGAGGATAACGCTTAAGACCGAAATTATTGACTTGCATCCGACCAGTCATAGAAAGTGCATCCATTCTCGATTTGTTCGAAACGAACGCGTATAATGGTTTTTAAGATAATTATCTATACGTACACAATCATAACGCATAATAATGTAATACAAAACAAAAAAAATCACAGGGTGGGTCATCAATCAGATTCAAATATTTTAGAGTGCATTTCCCCGTCCCCGCTTCCTGGTTCACTCCATACGTAACCACTGCATAACCGCTTGGTAATCGTTGTTTCTTCGTGCATTTATTCGTAACATCTCGAACGCCTGTCAACACTATCGTAATTACAACAATGGAACTGAAACCCAATACACGATGAATGATGATTATATTACTTTATTCTTCGCTGCAGTCATCGTCGAGAACCGTACTATAATATTTTATTGGATGAAGTACGTTCACAAAAAACGGTTATGTAATGACGTAATATATATTCCCGGTTAGTTCTTCGTAAGTCACGTAATCGCATTGGTTGGTTATCGATATCGGGCAAGGAGAAATTTATATCGCGGTATCAATTATTCATGATAAATAATAGTTCAGAATTTTTTTTTTCTTTTCCAATTTCCCGCGTTGTTAGTGGCTCGACAACAATAATTTTGGTAAACGAATAAAGTAAAAACAATTACGCTGTTCGCGTTGCCGCAAAATCCGAGTGCTGGTCTTACAAAAATACTGTACCTACCGTCAAACTGCGTATTACGCCGTGTCGATCACGATTTAGTGACTTAGGGTTTTCCAACCCGGCTGTCGACGGTCGCTTTATCCGTAATCCGGCTTTGCGATGTACCACTTGTTGACGTAATACCGGTCCCTGGTAATCGGGTTATAATAATATTACAATACACGACTTGTAACGACGATGTAATAGAAAGTGTCGGTCGCAGCAAGTTCCCACCAACAGTAGGAAGCAATCTTGTGCGCCGGTTTTGTAATAAGAACGAGTAAAAAATAATAATTATAATCGGTGGACTGTATTATTTACATGAAAAAAAAATTTACGAATCATAATAATTGATGGACTGTATAATATAAAATAAATATGTTGCCTGTTTAGGCGCGTCCAGACGGAGCAGCTTTTGCCGCGCGGCGTGAGTGTGAATACATGAATACATTTTCCGCGGCTTTTTTTGATGCCGCGCGGCATAATTTCCGATCGGCCTAGTAGGGGCGGTCTACACCAAAGGAAAGCCGCGCTGCATCAGCACTTATTTTTTAAGTAGATATTTAAATTATTTTTTAAGTAATTAGAACAAACTTTTTTCACTGAGGTAGAACTGATTTTTGTAGTAGTCTCCGGAAGACACAATTTTTATTCCATCAAAATGTCGATACTGAAGATTCTCTGTTTTTAAAAATACAAAGAATGATTTTTCAAAAATGAAACATGTTTTTTAAGATTCAAAAATATAGATTACTTGGTGGTCTCGTGCACTTCGTTGCCCATTAAAAATGACATAACTCTACAGTATTTATGAATAATATTTTATTATTATTATACCTTTAAAACAAATCGGGAAATAAATTCCGCACCGTGTATTTGCCGCGCGGCAAAAGCTGCTCCGTCTGGACGCGCCTTTTGACACATGCAATAATAAATATAAATAAATGTAATTAAATAATTTACCTACGACGACACACCGTAGGTGTTTCATATAAATAATAATGGTTCGGCACTACGTATATAATTTGCGCACGGTAATAATGTAATAAATAATATGCTTTTCGGCCTATTCGCAAACGAACGGAGGTCTTCACCATGAAGACTACGGCCGCCGGACATCAAAACGTAGATAAAATGCCACCACACGCTAAAACTGAAATGCAAGAAATTGAGAAACTTTGTGGCACTGAGAGTACGACTTGAACACGTTGGCCAGGACATAACCGAAAACCTTTGAAAACACCGAATAACCAACACTTTCATGCAATTGCGAATATTTATAAATCATGATGCACAATATATATTTCAGTACCTACCACCACCCACTTATTTCTCTAGCACACCATCCTTTTTCATCCTTTTTAACGATTTTTTTAAAAACATAAACTAAAGAAGAAAACCAAAAATTATTAAAGATTGTACTTACCTATTTATATTTTACCAACTCAAATTTAGGATTAACAAACTCCAAGAGGTTTTTCCTTCCTTTATAATCAACTAAGAATACAGAATGTTGATTTTATTGTCGTGTTATATTTTTATCGACTATCGTGTACTCCTTGTTTCGTGTTAGTGATATGTTTAAACTTTGAAATTCGCTATATGTGTATTCATCCAAAATCTTTACATCTAAATACAACACACCCATCCACCCATGACATTTTCACCTTGACGCCTGGGCGTCATAAAAACCCCTTCACCGTGCCGCTGCTTTCCTGCGACGGATTCTAACAGTGAAATTACGCATCCGGCCGGTCGAACACGGTCGCACGAAAACTATGACTTGGAATGAAGACAAATCGTACATTACACGATAATCAACATTAACAGAAAGTTATAATATTATTCTTGCGTCGCGCGTGATTTTTGAATATAAAATAAGTTGGGCGAATGAAAACTGGCCTGAGGAATTTACCCGGTAGAGCCGACGTGACATTTTGTAATATCACGTGTGTTTGGGAGGAAAGAGTTACGGGGAAATGCGCACTGTTGTCTTTTGATTTTCGAGAAACAAGCAAAACTATGTAATAATTAAAGACAATATTTTTTTATTTAATGTATACGAACGGTGCACTACGCGGATCACTGGTACACAATGCATGTTATGATATAGATGTAAAGAAAATAACTACCATTAAATGTGTGTTGTTTTAAAATGGTACGACTGGATCCCACCGTAACATTTTTTTTCGATCACTCGTCCTCTATTTCAGTTTTATTATTCATTGATCACCGAACTTGGTTCACCGGCATTGTTATTTGGCACCTGATCTGTTCGCGTTACAAATCGTCGAGAAAGTTTACACTTAGGTACGGTGTTTTTTATTCGACAAAGTGCGATACAAACAGTAATAAAAGTATCGAAATATTTTCAATATTACGTATTTTAATTTTTTTTTTTTTTTCATTTATTTTGCAAGCTATATTATAATTTACGATTGAACATAACGAGTTTATCATTATGGAAATGCATTAGGTTCCGAACTCTGCAGGTATACTCGGTACTCCAAGTATTAAAAGAAAATAGCAACAATAGAATACATAATATCCCGTCGGAATCGGTCCAATGGTTTTCGAAATCATCGAACGAAAACAATATAACAA